GGTAATATTCATTTGATAACATCGTCTTATTAAAAATAGATTGAACATTCTTAATTACGTTCTTAATTTCTAAAGCAGTTTAAGAAACGTGACCTGGTTATCCGATCAACGTAATATCTAGCCGGTAGTTTAATCTTGTCCGGTGAGATGGTAGGTGCGTGAACAATTTTACAGCGGAATTCAATTTGAAAAGAAGATAAGAAAAGCTGCGAGAAGAAATATTCCTTAGGACACGATGTTATCCATCTTAAGTGAGATTTATCAAAGATAAGTTTCAAGATTCGTAACGTTCTCGCTCTTCATTTCTATCTCTTTCTTTCTTTCTTTTTTTTTTTATCTATTTTAAAATTAAAATATTTATCCAACGATATATATTGTAATTAGGATAATTCGAACTAGTAAAAAATAATCGTCGGTCAGTTAATGGAACAATACTATACCAACTTTTCAACCCCCATCTAATTACCAGTTTATTTTTCTATCTCATTCTATCTTGAATACTTTAGCAACTAACTCTACTTCTATATTACAACTTTAAATAACGTACAAACGCGTTAAAGTAGTTCTGGGTTTTACCTTTTGCGTTCTACTTTGTTTTTTTTTTCCCCCTGAGCAACTACAATCCGCGGCAGCTTGTTTTCTTCTCTCCCCTTTTTATATCTACGTACACACCATATATGTATGCATATCGTTGCAGGATTTATTCTCCTAACTCGAGTTTAATATGACTTTTTTTTTATCCTTTCTTTTTCTTATTACGGAATATAATACGATGTGTAAAGAAAGTTTTTCTTTTTATTTCCAACTTCTTCCTGCAATTTGTCGAAGATGGAAACATTCGCGATAGGTAATTACGTTTAACAATGAGTATAATTAATATCACATAAATATATATGTATATATATATCACTTTTACAATAGATAAGAAAGAATTGTTTTAGCTTATGTTGTTGTAACAAAAAAATTGTATTACACGATTAACGTGTAAATAATATTAATTTTATTGTTGATTATTTGTTTAGATAATTTATGGATTATGATACTCTTTGTAATAAGGGTATAACGAGAAGTGCATAATGAAGAATGCGTTTACAGAAACATGTAGGTTTAGAGAGGAAATTCTACTTTATTTTTTCGTTCAGTTACCTAACGTTACTTGAGATCGTTCCTATCGTATTTCAGTATTAATGATCTCTCTCTTTCTTTCTTATTTTCTTTTTTCTCTTTTCCTCTTTTCTTCTTGGACGTCTTAAAAGCATTTTCAAGGCTCGAATGTGTTACCGGAAACCATAAGAATTAGTTACTCGCGTTCGTGTTCTTGAATTAACGATCAGGATTATCAATGTTATCAGTTTCGCAATGTTCGTGATCATTATTTTTTATTATTATTATTATTATTTTAAGTATTTCTTTTTTTTTTGGCAACGATTATATTCTAGCACGAAAAGGAATAGAATCGAAGAGTTAAGTTGGAAATACGTAAAATCGATTTTTTATTTATAATCGGGAAAAGTTTAAAGTACGTTTAATTTGTCTACGTTTGTGTTTCCTCCTCTTTCATGGTGTGGTGGCATCCATTTCTAAAAATCGTGCACAGAATATAGAAACCACAGCTTATGGAAAGTTGGCAATGCGCCCACCATACTATAATATGTATATAATATTACAGTTTAGCATATAAATGTTGCTCGCCAAAAAAGATTTCCTATTTTTATATCTTTCTTTTATTTGTTTTGTTTTTTCTGTTTTTTTTTTTCCCCCTTCTTTTTCTTTTTTTCTTTTACATTACTCGCTACATTACATTTTACCTTCCTTCAGATTCGACGTTAAACGTGCTGCACGGATTTGTTATCCTTTTATTTTTATTTTTCTCTTTCCTTTCCTACTGATATTTTATCTTGTTCGGAATTGTTTTGTCCAGAAAAAACGAATAAAACAAATATAGAAAGAGAACGACAAAAAGAAATCTCCTCGTCGCAGTTGCCATTGCAAATGCATACACGTAATTACAACACCTATGCATATATAAAATTCGTGATATCAGTACTGAACAAATGACATTTTTCTTGTTCTACAAAATTATCTTCTCGAATGAAGATAAAAATATTTTCAAAACATTGTATATTATTTTCTTATTTTTTTAATTCAACATTTTTACATCTTACGAAGAGTATCTAATAATCAATGAATAATTTATTAAAAAGACATGATAATTGCAATCATTGTTTTTTTATCGAGTTAAGTACTTGAAGAATGGGGTTATTTACTTTGACAACACCTGTGTGGATTAGATAGTTTTAATTAACCCTTCTTTGCATGATGATGGAAATTTCAATCATAATATTTAGTCAACAAAAAAAGGTACTCAAAACCCTTGTACTGTATATTTGTTGTTTCTGCAACAAAAAAAAAGAAAAAAAGAAAAAAAATCATGCAAAGAAGGATTTAGAATATTAAGGAATATATTTAGAATATTAAGAATTTAAATATAAAGGAAGATATTTAGAATATTATTTTTCTTACTTTTGATATTTATATCTTCAAGTATTTTTTCGTCACATATATATTTTTTTAATCACTCGTGGTATTTATTCACATCTTATAAACGTTAAATAATCAAATATATACTCATGCAGAAATTTGGTCAGATGGAAAAATAATCAGAACGGTCGACCGCATTCACGTTGAATATTTCGTTGAAATATTTTTATATTCCGTACTCAACACATTTTCTTTTTTTTTTTTTTTTTTTTTTTTTTTATCCGTGTATACATTTTGTCTTCGTGTGTATGTATGATGGGTGTATACTGCGTACGTCTGTCTCTCTGTGTATGGTAGAAAGATATAAAGTTGATCATCATGGAGTTTGCAATGGTGCTCAAGGGAATCTTTACATTTTAGAAATCCAAAAGCTGTCATAAGTCAGATCTGAGAGAGAAAACGGTCCACTTACCATGCTATATCACGAAGATGTAAGAAAAACGTAAGAAAGATGGAAAGAGAAAGAGAGAGAGAGAGAGAGAGAGAGAGAGATTTTAAGAGTGGTCCTATGGGAGTCTGTATTAAAGATACCAAGCGAAACAATTTATCACTAAGATATTCCGAGATACTGGTTGCTTTGCGGCTACGTGATTCTCATAACCGCAAGTAAGGGAAAACTATTCACGATTAAGGACAACAACATTTAGAAAAATAAATGAGAGAGAAAGAATGAATGAATGAAAGAAAGAAAGAAAGAAAGAAAGAAAGAAAGAAAGAGAAACAGGGAAACAAACAGCAATTCCTTGATACGAAACTGTGACGATCAAGAATAATAATCTCACGTACTCTTTTATATTTTATCTTTTCTTTTTTCAATATGAAAAAATCTTAGCACAAGTATTTTTTTTTCTTTTTTTTATTTATAATTTTAAAAAAAGTAATAATTATTTCTACGAAACTATAAGTCCAATAATTGTCGAATTATTTGGGGACAAATTTGAAACGATCGATGATACTTTAGGAAAATAATCTAATATACCTCTTGTATCTTTTTTAATTTATTCATTTTTTTCAACGTAAGTTAAAATTTGTAAATGTTTTTTTTTTTTTTTTTTAATTTTATGGGATAATTCGCAACGAACAATGGATAACAAATTGTCGTATATAGCACGTTAAAATTGATCTTACGTTAAATATATCGTGTGACGATTTAAGTTACCAAGTTTTCCATTAAGTAACCACGATAAAGAATAATATTATCAAACGGGGTTTAATAAAAGTTTCCAGGTCAACGCTGAACTTAACAAAGTTTCTTCTGATGAAAATGAATGTCGCGACGTGCGATTCGCGAATATCTATCTGCAACCCCCGCCCCATACACACATATATACGTACAGTTGCTATGTAGATTCAACGAAAGCTTGAATTATTTAATTTACCGAAACGGATTTCTTTGCTTTTTTTTTTTTTACTGACACTACTAGCAAGATAGGATCCAAGATTTCAAAAAGTTTCGTAATATTTCTATGAGAAAAAAAAAATAAAATAAAATAAAACACGTGACAGCCAATCTTCCCCCTCTCTTTCTCTTTCTTTCTCTTAAGTTAAAGAGTCTTTTTTAACATAGAAATTGGGTTGCTTTGAGACTCGCTAAAACCATCAACGAGAAGATAGAATAGGTGGAATATATGTAATGTGAACTAGGTGAGTTACGGTAGGTAATCTTAATGGATGATCAGATAAATCAAGGTTAATTCGTTAACCTTGTTCGGCTCAGATCAAGAGAAGAGATACGACGTGATTGTTCCGAAACCTCTTAATCTTGTTTAAAGCTCCTTCTTGCTTCCTAGCGAGAGAAAATGCAAGATCGACGGTAAAAGAGTTCGAATTGGCTTTAAACAACGAGGAGGTATACTTTTCACTTTCGTTAGGATTTAAAGATTTATTTATTAAAGGGCAACCGAGATAGATTGGAAGTAGAGAATAGTCATTTAACGATCAAAAAAAAAAAGAAAAAAAACTCTCTGGTAATCCTTCTTTCTTTATCACGATTTTTTCACAAATAATTTCAATAAAAAAAAGTGTAACAAATATAATATTTGTTCCCGTAGGATTATTCTTTCGTTTGTTTATTATTAACCCGTTTGCACGCGTCAAGCTTTTTCTGTTATTTGTCTATCGGTTGCCAACTTCGCGATACTTTTTTTTTTTTTTTTTATTAAAAATAAAATACTCAAATAGAAAAATACTGTTATAACGTGTCATCGTCGTTATTTAATCAAAACGGAGATTTACAAATTACAATTGGATCAATTAAATATAGAAATAAATATAAATTTAAAGTACGGGGTGAGTGAACAAATGAATCGTTGGATAACCCATTACAGGGTTAATATATTAAAAAGAAAAAGAATGATATTCAATCGAGGATTATTGCAGCTTCAATTTCCCATAGCGGGGGACACGTTAAACGGATGAAAATAAAAGGGGAAAAAAAAGAAATGTGAAAGGTGACTGACCTTAACGTTTCCGTATTTCCAAGTAAAGAGTGCAACGGCAGGTAGGCAAGCGATGACGCAACATTCCAGGATAAGTATAGCTGTTCTCATGAGCCAATTTAAGGATACCACACAGGCCGAACCATCGACGCAGGATTCGCAACCCTCGGCGCAAGGTAGACACTCGAAGGAATCTTCGTAGGCGTATTGACTTTCCTCGCCCTGCAAAAGGTTAAAGAAAAAAAAGAAAGAAAGGGATGGATGGATGGATAGATGAATGTGTGTGTGTGTGTGTGTATTTCGCTTATGCGAATAATAATTTATCTCTTTTGTTGGCAAGGGATCCGAGAGTTTGACGGTTTTCCTGTTATTAGGACCTTCACGGGAATCTTCGAGTTAACTTCTGTCCTGTTTGCCGATGCATCATTTTGACAGCTCTCCTCGAAACTTTAGTCACGATCATTCATCTCGTAACATCATCGAATACTTTGATTATTCGTTTGTTCCTACCCGAAATCGATGAATCTTAATAAAAGTCTTTTACGCGATATGATCAATACAAGATTTATGTCTCTACTCTCTAACATAAAAGAATTAATATCTCTTTTATTATTATTAAGTATTTTTTTAATATACTTTTGAAAAAAGCAACAATTTTGTGAACACCACATCGATCATCTCGTTTGATTTTACATTAAATTACGTGCAAAAATAATGACGATTGTCAACACACATTATGATTCATTGTGTTTCCAAAAATTATCATTTAGTTTTGTAATGCAAACTAACTTTTGGTCAGATTCGTATAAAATGTATTTTACTTTTTGATCTCACGAATTATTCTTTAGAAAAAAAAAAAAAAAAAAGAAATATACAAAAAAGTAATGTGAATTTATAGGATAGATATACACCTTACATATTCCGACAAATGTAAGGTAAATATTATAAATGGACTGAAAGTTGTGTCGGTCGTAGTAAAAAGTAGAGTTTATCCAGGTAGTTGTGGGTGGTACAGGTAACGTAAAAACGAATGCATTTTTAAAATAAAAAATATTTTCAGATATGGAGATAAAGTACCGTTGTTGGTAGTAGTCGTTGAATGAGCTTTACTATCCCACTCTTTTATTCTTCATCCGCTTCCCTCCCCCTTCTCCCTCTTCAGCTTCCCTTCTCAAAATCTAGTCATCTCTTTCTTCTTATTCTTTCTCAACGACCACTATCACACCACCATACAACTAAAACTACTCTTTATAGCTTGCTCTCACTTTATTTTTAAAGAATCGGCGGATTCAAAAGCTCGACATGCCAACAACAACAACGAGCTTTTTCGACTTTATACGTTTGGCTCGAGTTTAACCGAGGATCAAGTAAAGTCTCTCTTTCATGTATTGCATTCTACGAGATAAAATCCAAATGCAAAAAGGAAGAACTTCTTCTTTACAATATTTTCGAAAAAATATTCGATCCTTTTATTATGCATTTCTATTGCACTCCATGCACCGTTGAAAATCTCTCACGTATTCATCGACTATTTTCTTTTCATCGACAATTAATAATTCATTGTTGTTTTGAACCACGAATAATCATCCAATTCGGAGAGAAGAAACGTGAAAAATGGGAAAATAGGGAAAAACATATTTTGACGTAACGGTGAATTAACTTTCTCTCTTTCAAATTCATTATTAGAAATCTACGAGAGTGAGAGAGAAGGGAATAATAGGAGGGGTTGGTTGGGTGGGCATACGTGTAGGAACGTAATAATTCGATAAAAAGTGGATTCTCGATAGGTCAACGTTGGAATTGGAATTTCGTAGCCAACGGACTAATAAACGGCGAAACAAAAAAACAAGAAAAGGGAGAATGCATTTTTGAACTTCAATATAATCCAATAAGCTACGAACGGCCGGCCGATTGCATTCTTTTTGTTGCATCATTTGCGAACAAAAATTGCTTTCGTGCGGAACGCGTTAATATAATGTTTAATAGTAATAACACGATATTTAAAAAAAACAACAAAAAAAAACAACATAATAATATAAGAAAAAAGAATCATATATTCACGAGATATGATAATATTTTTAAAATACGACAAATTAGAGTTAGATTAATAATCAATATTCTTGTCCCAACAGTATATTAATATATATGAGTTTCAAAGGGAAAATTGAAGACAGTTAATAAATTTTGATGAACAAATTTATTTGATTTTGTTGAACGTTTCGTCCCTTACTGGGGACTTCCTCAGCAACTC